CGTAACACTGAATTCACCTTACACCTCTCGCCAAGTAGCTAATGCTCACGTGATACTCGCCTAAATCTCTGCTTTTTCGATTGATCAAACATGAAGTACATGACCTAGCACAGAATGTGTTCCTCCATTAAATACAGCAGATAATCCGGCATGGTGTAGTGGCTAGCATTTCCGCCTCTCATTGAAAGCTCTCGAGCTTCAAAAAGGTCGCGGGAGACCGGGGTTCAATTCCCCGTACCGGAATGAACAGTTTTTTGAATTTCTAATTCGCTTTGACGTACATTTTGTTCACATAGTGCTTGCTGATCAGGGACCAAACTTCGCTGAAACGACGATTCACTGTAACACACTCAATGATTGCTCCGCCGACCATGACTTGCCCGGAATAGAATCAGTAGATCCCGTCCGTTAGGCCGGGATCAATCCATTAAAGTTTTTGTTTTTGCTAATCCACCAGGAACCAGTTTATCACGCGGGACAGAAAACTCAGCAGTCACTACTCGTAGGTCCGAAGTCAGTATCAGCTTTGACTGCCCGAGTCAAATAGGAGACAATGAAGTCGTTCTTTTGATAATCTCATCTCAGCAGTTCCTCATGCAATATCATCAAATCTTGCTGTGGCAAAAACATTGATCCATACGAAGAAAAACTTTAAAATGCGCGATCGATTATGAGGTCAAGATTCGATGTTCATGATCAATGTAAAAGGGAATCGATTTTTGATATCCAGAAGCCAGGGATATCCAATGTACCACAAAGTCTCAGGCGAAGGTTTGACTGGACGGATAGATGCATCCTACATAGCATTGTGAAACGACACATCGATTCCCTGGTAACAACAATGATTCGAGATTGTTTTGCGTGGGCCGGAGTTCTTCGGGTAGTGACCGTACTCTCTTTTCTATTTTCTGAGAAAGAAAACTTGGTGTGCTGCATTGCATGCCTGTTAGCGGATCTACGAACACCTGCCGTGTGGCGTGATATGTAGGCTGAGCATTGCATGTATCCGTGCTGTACCGTGTATATGCAAAAGGATGAGTGTTCTCGGCATCGGGGAGTTGGAGTCCACGAAACGGATTGAAATCTGATGGACATACATGGCGCCGGAGTTCTCGTCGCTGTCATCAGTCGTTGTGATTCAAAATTCTCATAGGCACAAATCACACTTGTAATCCGCAAAATCGTGGTTAACTGTATGTCGTGCGGTATCATTAGTCAGTTACATGGAAAATTTCTATAAAATTGAGGTCATCGACATGGCCGTTCATATATTCATGACCACTTTTTATAACCTTTTGTGGATATTGAAAACCCAAAAAGCTTGTTCGAGAGAATGTTATGAGAAAAATCACACCTTTGAGTGATGGCTGGCTGGTTTCCCCCCACTTAAATATCTCATTTGCCGAAAAGTATGCATACAACCGTCTTGCATCCTTAGCTCCTGTCGTCTTCAAAGCTCAAACACACCATCCAAAGTCGAAATCTTAAACACTTTCAGATGAAAACGGAGATAATACTACACAATAGTTGTCTTCTTGGTCACTCCCAGAATACTACTTGCTGTTATGGCCAACTTGATAGAGTAGACCATTGAGCTGACTGACTTCTTTCAGTGTGATAATGTTACATGCTAACCGCTGACAACCCCAAGCAGCCTTCCCGCGACAGCCCTCCCTTAATTTTAGATGGCCTGCAATAACCTGAGTCATTTCATATGCTTATCCGCATCTGCTGTCATACGCATCTGGCTGGTGCGCCTGGTGATCATTGGGTAGCAGAAAAATTAAGCTCTAAATCATACTCCGGCATTTGCTATGCTCTGCTATTCATGCAATGAAATGAGAGAATGATCGAGGCAGTGGTCATCAATATGCTATAAAAGCTCGGGACATTCGGGAGTGGATACTCAATCAAAAATTCTTAGGCATATAAAGGTAAGTGCCAGCCATGCTGAACCGTCTTGCTTTGCTTTTTGTGCTTGACACAATACTTTTTTTCCATTTCCAACATTGGAGTATGCTTTTGGCTTTCCCGAAAACCAATACAGTATCTCGGAACATAATCCCAACGCTCTTCAATATCCGCACTATCACCATCACGTGGCTTCGATATCGTCCAATCATGTCTTCAACACAATCTTCACGAGAAGGAAGCTTCGAAAGAGAACTCCGTAGCACACCTTCGGCTCCTGGAAGAGACAGTCAAAGCTCTTCACCACTCGCCCGAAATTCCAGTGGACTTCCGGATATTTTGAGGTTACGGGTTTTGGCCAGTCCAAAAGAGTCCGATGCAGAATGCTGGGAAAGGATGTTGGCATTGCAGAAGGAGTATCACTGTTATCAATCTGCAAGATTGGAAGCAGCTGTAGAGGCTTTGGAAAACGGTTGGCTTCTTGAGGAAGTTCCTAGACGTTAGTACAATCTTCAACTATGATGAATCTCCAATATACATGCTCACACAAGCACAGCATCTCGACTTTGCTTAGATCTTATTAACGATGGTTTGAAGGCTCAAATTCAAACATTTGATACCCTCCAAAGAGACTTGGTACAATAAGAGTAGGCTTTGGTTGCATCGCAGGATCTATATCTGTTGAACAACGACCAGATCATAGTGTAATAGGTGGAGAGAAACCCTGGAGAACGGGTTCCATTCATTGGCGAAAGCCAGCGAATATTGGTATTTTAGCATTGGCGTTATGGAATGGGCAAACTTGGGCACACGATAATATTGGATGGAAATCGATACCCACGGTCTGTAATTTTGCGTTCTTGAAGGCTCATTTATAATTCTGGAGGATAATGACTCCAGAATGGCAGGGCGTTAGATGGGGCCATATTTTGATACATAATATAGAATTATCAACCATAGATGGGAAATATATGAGAATCGCCCAAAATTGATGAATCGAGCAATGACTCTCATGCACTTGAATTGGATATAGTAGGTGCATGTATTATTAACATGAAATGGAAAGACCTGGTGTGTCATATCACGTGCCATATGTGTTAGGCAAGAGGGAGTGAAACCCGGTGGTGATTTTCCAAACGAGCAGCAAAAGTGTATTCAACTTTCCTACGCATTGGATTAGAGCAACTTTCTGCATCAGATATTCTTCTCACCGATCACACAATGATCCTCTGTGAATGGATTGAAAATGATGCAGGAATAGAATATCCAAACTCGAATGACATTCAATGCTTTTCCTTCTCCGATCACTCATGCACACCAATATCGTAATGGGGCGTTACAGAATATCATTCGGTTCTTACGGGAAATTAATCTCAGGTCCTCGCTATGGTTCAGCTTCTCTGAATTACAACTTGTCTACGGCTGATCACATATCTTACATCAACCTCCCGTGGTACATATCCGACCGTTCTTTCACTGCCGTATGACTGCAACCCGGTCTGATTCCGAGTGGAGACTATGTTTTCGGGTCAACTACCTTTATCTTTTCATACCTGACTGACAATATCCCAGTATCGACATGATGAGCCGCCGCGCAAAGTTGGTCTCAATTGATTATCATGATGATGCCGGTTTCTTCTCGACCGATTATTCCATACCTATCAGGAAGCCCAATCAACGTATCCTTCGTGGGGTGGCACATAAATACCCGGATATAGAGCCTCGGTTCGGTACGTGGAACGGTACCACAAATGGATACTTTGGCCTATCTTGATCAGTCTTTGTGCCAACAGAGAATGGATTGTAGGGAGGAACTTGACACTCCGCTCTGGAATCAAAACTGCCTATCCTTCTATCTATTGCAGCAACGAATTTGAAGAAAAGGATCTACAACTCAGCCTTGCAAGATGACTCGTTGCTGCGAGCCCCTGCGAAATTCATGATCGACCACCCACATGTTCTGTGACCCCCACGTATCCAAGTACATTTACTCTGTAGGTACTGTCAAATCTTATCGTGACCTCGGGACCATTTACAAAAATTTGAAGCAGAAGTCTTCCAGAGTTGTTTGAATGAATCAAACACGAGACACCTACCCGAAAGCACACCAAACCAAAGATCCTTCCAGACTCTCGAAGGATCTTTCAATAGTTTGAATAGGAAATGGTACACGAAGGCTCATTTTGCGAAATAAAACGGAGGATTGTTTGGATACTGCCAATCATATACTCCGCATGCAATGAGACATCCCCCAGCAGCATGGCATTGATATTGTCCTGTAGATAACCGCAGAAACGCCTCGTGGCGAAATTGATCTCAACAACGAGTTCTTCTCATCAGTGAGCTTTTTGAGTCTTGTATTTCTTCAACCCCGTCAGGGAGATAGTACAGCTCATTTTCAAGTCATACACAAACATGATCTGTCATATCAACGCAGATATCTGGAAATCGTTCTTGCCGTTTAGATGATTCATGCTTCGCAACGCTCTTCTATTGTATCGTCATATACAACATTGTTTCCGTCTAGACAAGCTACAAATCCCGGGTCTACTTACGACTTGAGTAACCCAAAAAAATTCAACCACAGCGATACTGCACAATGCAGATACATACCAAGACTTTAGATCACCTTGGTAATACTATACACAAATAAGGCTTGTCTCACTCAATATTTGCTGTCAAATAAACTTTGATAAGGAGCCTCGTCACCACGCTATGCCTTAGCACCCGGACAAGATTGCAAGGATAGCGATAAACCTATTGCTTACTCGTTTCGATAGATTCAATTTATTGCACTATCAAGCAGTTCATGCGATTGAGGATTGCATCCAATGCACTGAAACCCACTAAATCTTCTCCAGGACTTTCTATCTCACCCACGCGATCAATCAAAAGTGGAATATATGCCTTTTAGCTGGGGTTCTCTCAGGTTTTCGCCCCTCACCATCTGATCCTCGTTCCCGTTTTCGCACTGTTGCCAATAGATTACATCCAGCTTGTTATCACTAGCTTGTTATCTGCCAATTGCAACAACTCTACCTTTGTACTCGATCTTTAACAACTTGTTAAAATTTCTGAAAACTCTAGCCATGGAGTATAGAAGAAGTTCCATGGTTATGAATCGAAAGCAACAAGCTAGTACAAACCCTCAGATATATGCTAGCTTTGCCGGTGCTGGTGTCCCCCGGACTTCGAATGGAATCTTAGACGATATGCCTACAATGTGGTGGGATGAGGAAAGAATCCAAACCACTGTTACACGGCAATTTGTGTCATCAAAATTACGTCCAGACGAGCAAGAGCGTCTAGACGAGCCATTAGGCTTTGGCGACGGCTTGACCGATGACACGTATATGGAATGGATTGAAGAGAAAGCCAAAAAGATATTTTTGATCTTAGTGGAATTGGGCGTGCCAGATCAAATATTTGGAGTCATCGACGATTCTTGGGGCGATGATGATTTGCCAATACCCATGGACCAAGTTGGGAGGCTACAATTGACCTACGATAGGAACGAAAAATTGGAGAAGAAGTTTTTCCAGCGCCAATTCAACTACCTGCTTAGATATATTGCTAAAGGCGAACATATTTACTACGATGATGTAGAAGTGGTACCGCTGGAGCCAGTAGAGAAGAGACCCGCTAGATCAGTAACTAGTCTTCTGCCGAACAGTGTTGACCAAGTCCATTTACCTGGTAGGCCAGACACTGTCTTTCTACGCCGACGAGTACTCTTAGGCACTTCGCCAGACCGAATGCTACATGAGGAATTTCTCTCGGGCATTCAGGCAATGAAAGGTGTTGAACATACACATTTTACTTCCTTGTGGGCTTCTTATATACACCAGGATAAAGGCTACCTACTCTTGACTCCGGCCAACGTCAACTCGCTGAAATCTTTTCTCACAATAATACCTCAATCTTTCAAGATTTTAGCAAAGCAGGATCGCCGTATCCTCATTCTAAACTGGCTTCACTGTCTAGCCGGTGCTCTGTCTTTTCTCCATAAAACTGGACTTTCGCATCGTAACATAAAGCCCTCAAATGTGATGCTCGACCTTGACAATCATATATTTCTAGGTGATTCTGGTGTTTTCCCTACACAGCTCTCAACTGGGGAGAAAGGAGGATTTGATAAAGAGACCTACGATTACTCTGCCCCAGAACAGCACCATTATACAGCAACTTCTACATCCAGCCTCCCCAATACCCGGATAGTGTCGTCGCGACCACCGGCTTCTAGTCGTTCAGCTCGTGTTCCGAGTGAGTCTATGTCTCAAACCGCTTCAACGTCCTTGGGAAATGATTCTTCGTCAATCCATACCACTTCAACCAGCTCACAATCAGAAGGCTCAGGTCCGACGCAAACCAGGATACAGAGCAGAGTTGGCAGACATGACCCCCAAAAAGCAGATATTTTTGCTTTAGGGGCCATTTTCATTGAAATTATAACATTTCTTATGAAGCGAGCCACAAGGAATTTTGCCTCTCATCGATCATCTAAGAACAAAACTCCGGGTCGCGGTGGAGGAATGCCAGATTCCAGCTTCCATAAAAACTTGACACAAGTCGACAGCTGGATGAATACGCTTCTCAAAGACGCCACGAAAAAAGAGGACAAAATCTTTAGAGGTGTTTCTCAATTGATTGCGATCTCTCAAAGAATGCTCTCGCCCGAGCCAGATGAAAGACCATCAGCAACGGAAGTCCAAGAGAGGATATACGCCATTTTGACTGAGAACTGTGGCCTGAGAGATAATTCTGGAGAAAGCAATACAGAAAAAGGAGAAATACACTGCGAAACTCGAATTACAGAAGACCAGTGGAACTTTGGTTTCGATCAATTGCGCCTAGCAAGCCAGAGAGCCGCGGCAGAAGCGTGCGCTTCGGTGGCGGGTGATACAATGGCAAATCTACCGGTTGGAAATGGAGGCGTAATATATGGCGTAGAAAGAGTAGCAACGGTAGTGAATAATGGAATTCCCTTGTCGTCAATGGGAGGACGAGAAGGAGATCGCGTTAGTATCAATACGAAAACTAGTAGTGGAAAAAGTAGCGAGGGAAAAGGTAAAGGTGCTGGAGAGGGAAAAGCAAGACCTAAAGCTAAGGCTTGGCAAGCTCCCGTTTATGCCGGTATGTCTACGGATCAATACTAATCTAGCGTGCTTGCACTAACAATTGTCGTGCAGAGCTTAGTTTCGGCTAACAAACCCCTTTTATTGCTGAATCGCCAGCGATTCTCGATTGTGAATTGTGACTGTTGGAGGACTCTGAACGAAAAGAATGATGCAACGAATAAATTTTATAATGAGACTTAATAGTGGGAAGGGATGTGTTGGAGGTAGGTTTAATACAAACGGAGTGGGAATACTTAATACATGTGAATACTGCTGGCAATGGATAGGCTGGTGCAATAAACTTTAGTTGTGGGAGCTTTCTTCGGTTCTTTGGAATGTTCTGACAAAATTAATGGACGAGAAGGGAATGAAATGCGATATGAGATGATATGAGATGATACGATGAAATGCGACACGACAGAATTATCCAGCTGGAGACTGTTATTTCACACAGTGTCTTTTTTGTAGTATATACCAGCCAGCTTCTACGAAGCTATTCAAATCGTATAACACCATTTGGATGGAGACAATTGTACTATAATATACTCTGAGAAGGATCGGAAAGACGTTTTGAGATTTCAATCGAGTGCGAATCGATTCGGCGAGAAACACTAGTGACTCTACCTTTCTACCTTTTCTTCTCTCCAACTCTCCAACCTGAAGCCTTTCAAACGTTTTCAAAATTGAAATTACCGAATCCTTTGTGATTTCCATTAAAAGCAAACCAATTTTATCAATCTTGTTCAAGTAAGTGAAACAATCGCGTTAAGGTAAGTGATAATGTCTTTACTCTTCTATTTGATATTCCCCCTTGTTATCTCCCCCTTTACATCATATATTCAACATCAACAAGCGAATACTACTAGTAGTACATCTTCAGATTCAAATGTTGTAAATACACCTTTCGCAAAACACGAAAGAGTTAGAGAATGTACAAGCAGAGTTAAGAAGGAAATAAATCATAAAGGAGATTTAACTCAAACCAACGATGTTTTGATGCTCAAATGCTCTTTTAGTATACATTTACGTCTGAGGAAAAGTGCGTGCTATCAAAAACTTGGATGTTATGATTTTTGGGCCGTGTTTTGTGACTTTTTGGACCATAATCACTCTAGACAACTTATTGAACTGTATTATAACGTTGATTAGTTCTATAGATGAGGGAAGACGGCAGGGAAAATGACACTTGGGTGGGGCGCGCAGATAATCTGGTCAATACATGGACACGGAGATGAGAACGAGGTCTAAATGTGTGGTAGTGATATTGGAGCTCAAATTTAACCCTTTCCTCGTCCTCATCTTATTCAGTCCAAGATATGTGTGAATTGTAACCGTCTCATCTTATTCATTCGTTCATTCGATATGTAGGATTACTGCGAAATTTTACGCTCATTATGTATGCCATTTCGTCCGATATCCAAAACCCCAAAGTTATGATTTTCTTTCCCATACCTGTAAAAAAATTCACAATTTAGACTTATTAATAGACGCTCCCCCTGATACTTTTGTCCAATATTTCAGCTTGTTGAATCTCAAGTAATTTGGGACTCGGCTCACCACCCTCATCACTCTGTCCTCCAGCATCGTCATCCCCATCATCACTTTGATCTCCTAAAGCATCAGCCTTGACTCCCTTTCCCATCCCGTCCGATTTTTCTCTCGTGAGTTTCCGCGATAATACCGAGATCCCCAACCCGTTATTCCCGTTTCGCCCCTTCGCCAACCTTTTCCTAACATCTTCTTCTGCGCTAAATTCGGCATCGCTATTAGCACCACTAGCGCTTCCGCCTCCATCTCTTCCCGCATGGCGTATGCCAAGTAGATCATTGGGACTTCGAATGCGACTACCTAGTCGGTCTTCTATGCTAATGAAGCTGGGTGTTCCATCGGGACTGCTAACAGTTTCTTCGAGACTCTTTTGGACATCTAATTCAGGCGGCCCGGATTTTCCCCTTGGATCATCCTCGTCTTCGTCGGAGGAAGATTGCCAGCGACGGGCTGCGGGTCGACGGGCTGCGATTGTCTCTATATGCGTGGATGAAGCGGATGCCGAGGCGATTGGGCGACCGTTCAGTTGCATGGCATGCATGGAGTTTTCCTTCTTGTAGTAATGCTTCCCGTGGTCGCAGCCATTTGGGCAGCCACCCCATCTCTTATGTGTTGGTATTGGGCTAGAAGAACCTGCAGGAAAGCGACCGGCCCCTAGTAGTCTACTCTCCTTTTCTTTGTCCTTTCCAGAGGTTTGCCCACTTTCGGGCGTTGAGGAAGGTGTTTTGGTTGCGGCGGCAATCGCTAGACGCTCTTGCCTTAGTTGAGACCATGTGCGTAGTTGATTTTCTAGTATATACTTCCCGGAATCATTCGATTTGCGCATAATAAGGAACTCGCAATGATTGACGTTTCGAAGGTCTTCAAAGTACTCAACGGAGAAATGATACCATTTCATCAGAAAGACGCGAGACATAAGTCCGTGAGTCACTATCACCCATCATGTTAGGGATATTAAGTTGTACGTGAATACTAAAACATACCCAGAACGCAAACGCTTGCGAAATCATCATCCCCAAATTGTCTCCATAGACTCTCATTAAATCCACTCACCCTATCATATGCATCCGCCGCACTCTCTCCATTAGGGATCCTATAAAAAAAGTGCCCATAATCCGCTCTTTCTTGCCACATTCTCTCCATTTCCGCACTGCAAGGCTGAAAGTTACCAAAGTCCTGCTCACGAAGGCGGGGCTCTTCATATACTTTTATAGAGTGCCTTGGAAACGGAGAAGGGCTCGGTGAGTCGGAGGTTAGGGTAGACAAAATGCCCTCTGTAGTCTCGCGGGTCCTTCGATAGGGAGAAGTGAAGAAGTGGAGGGTATCATCTGGACGTAAGAGATTTCGCAATTGCAAACCAGCTTCATGAGCTTGTGTCCAGCCTTCGGGGGTGAGCTTTACTCGGTGATCGGGTATAGTTTGATGAATATCACGGTTCTCTGAATAGGTTAGCTAGAGATCGATAACAAGGCTGGCAGCCTCGTGAACGAGAGGATGGTGGGAACATACTGTTTCCCTCTGATTGAGCATGTCTAATCAAGATGATCATACGAGGTTTTCCCATATTGGCAAATTGAATACCATAACCTTCCGTTCCAGAAATTTATGCTTTAGCAGTAAGGAATATTTGAGGAACAGCGGAACGAAAGATAACGAAGTGCGATCTTGTATTTGTAAGACCAATAGAAAGGAGGCTTAAATCAGATTCTGTAACAACCTTGGAATGCCGAGGAAGGAATACCGTATGAGCTGTTTCAAGTTGCCACCCCTCTCCTAACGATCGTTCGTTATCGTCTTATCGTAAGGTAAATTTGATGTGACGAAACATAAAGATGGCATTTCAAAATTTGGCGGGCCTAGCCAGATCAGGCTGCAGATTAGTCAGGGGCTGGCGACAAGGCTGCAGAACCCCCAAATAAAACAAAACCTTATTAATCAAACCTCAAAATAGCTACCGAATAGAGCTGTTTTTCGCAATTCAATACAATATCAGCGCCGATATTACAATAAACCCATCCAGAGCGAAACGTCTTGGCTAACAACAGATAATCATCAGAGCATTTTCAACAATGTCTGAAAACATCCCCGAATCTATTCCCACCTCCGCCGACCCTCGTTCCAAGCGTCCTCTGAAACGTCGTGCGATATCTCCTCGCTCAGAAACTGCCTCTCATATCGACAAGTTGATGTCCGTCGGCTTACCCGAAGATGGAAAATCCACAGAGAAAAATGCTCTAGGCACGAGAATAACAGGAGCTGTTCCTGAAATTGTGCAGAATGTGCAAGGAAGTTCCGCAGGAGCTGGATCGGGGGAGTTTCACGTTTACAAAGCGAGTCGTAGAAGGGAATATGAGAGATTGAAAGGGATGGATGAGGAGGTTAAAAAGGAAGAGGAGGCGGAGCAATGGGAGAGGGAGAAAAAGGAGAGGGAAGAGAAAGATGCCGAAAAGACGAGGAAGGCTAGGGAGAAGAGGGAAAAGAAGAGACAGAAGAAAGGTGGTAAGGGCGACCAATCTAGCATTGTTGCCGGTGCGCAAGCTGGAAAATTCATGCCTAGGATTGATGCGAATGTTAAAGGAGATGATGACAATGAAGTATCTGGGACAAATACTGTTGGAGAGGTACAGGAACAAGTAGGCGTCATCATCCACGATGATGATTGATGAATAATTCGAGTCAGGAAAAGCTCAAATTCACCAGTGACTTTAGATTCCTGCACAGTCACAAGTTTTATAGGGATTTGAAAGAGTGGCCAAAAATGCTATATTGGCTTGATATCTATTCATTGTCATAAACAGGAACATGCAATCATTAACCGTGAGCTCCATGCTATGGCTAAAAGGGTATGATCAAACATATTATCATCACTTTTTTTATACACTGACATTGGAAGGTTTACTCCTCCCCACCGCCAGGTGCACCAGGTGCTCTTGCGGCTTTGGCGCTGCAAATATCATCGACTCTCAGGAGGAGGCAGGCAGACTGTAAATTAGATTAGTTAAAGGCTCGTAAGCTACTAAGCATATATCCACATACCTCAACTGCAGTCTTGATACTTTGTAATTTGACTGCCTCTGGCTCCCAAACACCGTACTCATTCATGTCAACCAAAGTACCCTTGTCACCGTCAATACCCCATGAACTTCCGCCCTCAGCATGCTTTGCTCTCAACGCTGTGAGGACTCTGACTGGACTCTGACCGGCATTTTGAATCAAGGTTCTTGGGATGACTTCCATGGCTTCAGCTACAGCCTTGTATGGCCATTGCTGCACACCCTCAATACTCTTTGCGAGTTGACCTAGTCTGACTGCAACAGCCATTTCAGTAGCACCTCCTCCAGGTGATAATCTGGGGTGAAACATGACATTTCGTGCAACGGCCATAGCATCAGCCAAGTTTCTGTCAATCTCATTTAAGATATCTTTGGATGGACCTCTCAGTAAGATAGTGCATGCCTTTGGCGATTCGCATTTAGTCAAAAACGTGAAGTATTCATCACCAATCTTCTCAATCTCGAAAAGGCCACATTGGGTTCCAACATCAGATTCCTGGAGATCGTCTACTCTATTGACAACAGTGGCGCCAGTTGCACGAGCTATTCTGTTGTTATCTGTTTTTCGGACTCGACGGAGTGCAGTAACGTTTCCTTTCATCAGGTAATGTTGTGCAAGATCTAGAACGGTTTAGCAAAACAAACTATAATGAGAGCAGTCAACATACCAGAGACACCCTTCTCAGTGATGACCAAATCTGGCTTAAGAGCAAGAATAGAATCGCACATAAGCTTGACCTGCTCCTCCTCAATCTGCAAAATCTTGTTCCAATCGTCCTCTTTGCTGATCTCAATGTTCGTCTGTGATTCTCCCTTCTTGTATTCCAATGTACAATCTAATAGGATAATTCTGGGGTTCTCGATTCTCCGTCTCATCTTTGGGTGGGTAATATCTTTGTTGAGCATAACACCGTCCAAAACTCTGCTGTCCTCGATCTCTCCACCTGGAATCTTTTCAACTCTTGCATAACGCTTGATGTCAACCTCTTTCTTGCCACCTCCGATCTCGTGAGTTACCGTTCGTACGGCCTTGAGTGCTAAGCTGCACATGAGTTCAGACCATCTAGAAACGAATTTTGTGCCGATTGAGGATGAGATGAGTTGATACATGGCTTTATCATCGTTGATATCGACTGGGAGGGAAATTTCTTCAATGATCTCGAGAGCGTCTTTCAGTGCGGCCTTGAAAGCGGAAATAATAACGACAGGGTGGATGTTTCTTTCTAATTGTGGAAGAGATTGTGCCAACATTTCACCAGCTAGAAATTGTCAGTCCCGTTTCTTACAAGTTCCTGAAACCTTTTCATACCAAGAATAATAACACTAGTAGTTCCATCTCCAACTTCCTCATCTTGTGTTCTGCTCAACTCAATCATGCTCTTCGCTGCAGGATGCGACACTTCAATTTCTCTGAGAATGGCATGTCCGTCATTTGTCAAAACAATACCGCCCATAGGATCCAACAACATCTTTAGCATAGCCTTTGGGCCCAAACATGATCGAATAATATCTGCGACGCTATTTATATGTCAGTTCCGGTTTGTTGAAATGGCGGGGTGCTCGGTATGTGCGGTGAAGAGCTCCTACGTTTTGGCTGCGGTGATGTTCGACATCTGAGCTTTTCGACCAGTTTGTCTATCACCACTCTGGGTGTCTAGAAGCTATAGTCAGCGTTCTGGTCGTTTCTTAAGGATGAGGGGTAGTGGGCAGAAGAGCTCCAAAGCCTTCGAAACTTACTCATTACTACTACAGGCGCCTGCATATTGGAAATTTTCTTGTATATCTGCTGTAAAGGGTACAAGGGTGGAGGGCCAGAATAAAATTAACACAACGTTTTCCTGTCTGGTGGAATGTTGTAGTGGCGTTTGAATAAGTTACCACTACTCTGCGCGCTGATATCGCGTCTCGACAAATTTATTGAGCACAGACCAATTTTAGATTTTCAAATATTGTCGTCGCCTGAAAGCATGCAACTAACCAACTAACCACTTCTCCAACAGCGCTCACATCACTCACGTAACTTGACTGATCTTCACAAGTGCAGTTTGCCAAAGTATTGGCATTCCATTGTTTATCACCTGACTCGCTACCAGTACACAATCTAAACAATGGCTAGTGCTATTTATTTGAACATCAACACAACGGGATAGCTCTTCCGATCCTTTCGACACTCATGCATATTCTACTTAAGTGTAGGTAAAGTCATATAGCTAAAACTGGGATACTCGTATGTGTACTAAGAACACTTCAGCGTTCTGCCTTCAACAGTATGACAGGCCAGTATTCCACATGCCACTGGATCTCTCCTTGAAAGATTGCTTCAAAAGATCATATCATCACTTCTCTTGCCTAGCTCAAATACCCTATCTGTAACCCGACAACTTCTCTCCTAGATGCTATCAATGCTCTTTGCATTCTTTCGGCGAATTGCCAACGAGCTACAGTGCCTAATCTCGAGTTTTGACCACACGGGTGAGGATACATAATCCTCAATTTTCAAAGATTGACAGAAAGTCAATTGGCTCGTTTCCATATGCTACATACATCACGGATGTGAATACCCTGTGGATATCCTACCAATACTGCATCTAAATTTTTCCTGGAGTGTAATTTTCAAACATTCGATCTCATTTTCAAATAATACATACTCAAAGTGACTATCTTTATCGGAAAATGGGCTGGTCTTAGGCAGGGGTGTTTGATAATCTGAATTCATAGATTGAATAGGTTGGTTGTATCTAAAAGCCACAAACTGTGCAGACTGTGCAGACTATGCAGACGTCAATCCAATGATCCAGATTCATCAATCAATTCAAATTATCTGGAGATTTAAAGCTTTCAATTGACAGGTTTCGGTCCGAACTATTGCACAACACGTTTCTGGACAGAATATGATAGTGCTTGACGCTATCCAAGAACGATATAAAAGCTCATCTTTAAGAAACCTTGCTTTTTTTAGATACTATCTCATCTAGTACCAGGCAGATAGAGGAATGTGATGTTGTTGCTGTATCGAAGCCAGCCTCGTTCTTCGCAAGTGGAGAATGCAATCAGCCGTATGCGAATCTATACTAGCCACTTCACCTCTTTGGGTCAGTTAGTCAGTTGGTCTTTGTGTTATTACATGCAATAGTACTTCCTGTAATCTTATTCCAACACCTGATCAAATGGGCGAACTTCCTGTGGTCCCTCTTTGTTGGGTATATCAAACAGCAGGACGGGAGAACTTTCTACGCAACAAAATTTTATCTCCAAATTCAGCCGAAACGCTTCAACGCGATGAGACAACTCGCGTTGCAGTTCCCTTCCCAGTCATACCGAAAATTCAAATTTTTTCTACAGCTACCTAAAGAGTTATAAGTCATGATTAGAAAGTACGCCTTAATTGACTGTGAGCCACGAACTGTCATCACCAGACCTGTAAATATGTGCGAAGTGTTTTCCTGGCTTTCTCACCAGAATCTAATACGATACAAAGCCAAAGCATGCTACGATCTTGCGCGGCCTTCTACAGGCCTGTCATCTTTCTAGAAAAGAAGCTCTTAAGAATTACATTCCGGCATTTCGGTCGCCTATTGTTGGTCCTATTTATCTATGTTGACCCTAGTTAGGATTCTCTTACAACAAAGGACATGGAAGGATGGAAAAGCTTTATGTATCACGGTAAAACGGCAGAGGAGAGCTTGGCTAGTAATGGGCACTCCAAGATGGGAGCAGAAACAGCCAACTTCAGATGGAAGGGTCTTACGATTCCTATAATTTGGAAAGGAAATGCTTGAGCGGTTTAGATTGGTGGAGAGAGAAGCATGATCACATCGTTCGCAAAGAAAAGGTGTATCTCACCATAATTCATCAGCCGAACAAAAGCCTTGCATACTATAGTCCTAACATATCTGTATCAGGTAAGTGCTGCTTCGATGCATTTAAACTGATTGATATTCGTGACAGGACTTGTTTCACTTTTATATACGTAAGTTAGCTAGACCATGGAACTGTTGTCACTATTTCACGTTGTTGCGAACGAACTGATCAAGAAAGGTGTTTGAATGTTTCTGTTTCCCTCAACTGCCCTTGAACAAGAAGCCGTATCAAGCACTTACGCACAATTTCCAGATATGCACATCATGCCTTCTGTCTCGACCCATTTGATCTTCACATAGCATATTTGGATACAGATAACTCATAAAGATGCAAGTGCAGGTCGTTCACCAAGATAGCATTCATCCTTATCGTCTCCAAATTCCATGATAATAAATCGTTCTCAAAAATTCGCGTAAGAATATGCTAGTAACAGGTGAAAAATATACCGACAGACGGCCATTCCCAGATATATGTCTTGATTGAGCTTCCAGTAATATATCGGCATCTTGAGCATCGAAATCATTATGATGTTAGAACTACTATTCTGAAAATCGTCTTTGGCCTCCTAGTTCTCATCTTCGTTTGTTGACGGTATACGGAGATTTTTAGTGTGATGACTGTCATATTAGTACGAGAATCTCAAAAAATCCTCCTGTATACCTAATTTAATGTTTCTAATATATTTCAATGAAAATTGTATACTTCGAGAACTACAAGTTCTCCGAATATTCCGATTTTATATATCTTTCAAATCTTTATAGATGGTTGTATTTGATGAAAATATTATTGAAAATGAACCAAGATCTGGATTCCCGAGGCAAAGATTTGAAATGAACAGGATTAGATTTATGTAATGTTAAGCTTGCAACCCCGCAAGAGACACAAAAGGCTCCCAGACAGAGGAGACATCACTAGTAAGATTGAAAGATTAATGGAATCGTGAGAAGATGTATGTGCCTCTTGATTACTGATGCTAGCTAGTGATGCAGGATAAATCATTCCCTGATCTACCTTTCTGTAGTCAATGGAATGTGGAATTGGCTTTGACGGCTTAGGTCATTAAGCAATAAAAACCAATTATTAATGTATTTAACAAAGAGAGCTGGAATGTATTAGCTTAAGTTTCTCATCCTCTCTATTATAGAAACGGATTTAGGATTAAAGAGAGCTGGAATATACCAATCTCATTATTTTGTATTATCCAGCACAAAGCAGTTTTGTACTTTTAAATTCATTTCTTTGTTTTCATTTCTCTATACGAGTGTGTTATACTTCCTACTTCCCCCGCAACACAACCTGTCGAAACATCTCAAAGTCCAATCAGCTACTTTATAGGTCGCAATTTATGTTGAACTGTGCCACTAGCTATAAGAAAAATGTCTTTATATAAACCTTTCGAGGGAACGACAAAAGAAGAGCTCAAGCTCCACCGTCCGAAAAGTCCAGACTTCTTGATTTGTCACGTCTGTGGATTGAACTCCAGTTTACAGGAACATAATGCGTATGTCAGTCATGTAAAGGTCTCCATGAATTCTCTAGGGGTATGTGGTCTCTGGGTGAAAAGTACTTCTTGAAGGAACTCCCAAACACCCACAGGGAGATCCCACGAACCAAATTCGGACTATGCAGTAACCAAACTCTTGAGCGAGAATTCAAACGTTTCCTGTAGCAAAAGATATGCGTGGTTGGGAAGATAGCACCAGCTACTGGCGATTGATGGAGAGAGTCCCTGGCACAATACTCTGGGACGCTCAGCATGATCTCACTTTAGAGCAGCATCGCACAATCGGCACGGAAATAGCAGAGTATCTGGCGGAAGCACGCAAATTTACGTCGACAAAACCGGAAGCTCCAGATGGTAAGCCGATCAGAGATCAAGATTTTGGAGGCTTCATATTACGCTATAGATCTGATGACTACCGATCGAGAATAATGGTGGGCACGTACAGAACCCCGTATTCGTGACCGCTCCAGCATCCCGCGGGAAATGATAACGAAGTTCAAGGAGAGTTATCCCATCAAAGAAGGAGCAAAATATGTACTCTCTCATGGTGATCTCAACCCACGTAACATTCTGGTAAAAGATGGAAATGTTACTGCTATCATAGATTGGGAGCATGGAGGTTATCGTCCAGAATGGTGGGAATGGAGTGAGTGGCGTAGTGGGGACACGTGAGTCCGCTTTGAATTTTATCCGAGACCATCCAGACGAACTTACATGGTCATGGGTTGTTACAGAGCAGATGATACGGCTCGGTATCGATGTGGATGTTCCTGACGATGTGTTAGCCTGCAGGCGCATGTATAATAAATATGTTAGGGAGCCCTCAAGTAAGGAGGTACCTAAGTACGAGCATGAAGAATACGATAGGTATCTGTATTGGCATTGCACCAATTACAGACGTTATCTTAATGATAGGGATTTGCCAGCGGATTACCTTGCTGAAAGACGCAAAAAGGAGGTAAAGGAGGAAGCCAAAAGAGCAGCTATCATGCTGACCTTCGACAAGCTAAGCCCAGACGAGCAGGATATTTTCTTGACCGGAAAGATACAAAGGGGGGTCGGACGGTGAACGTCAAAGGCCTGGAAACTTGGATGATTTCGAACAGCTAGGACTCGACTAATGATAGCCTATAGTTATTTATTATGTATAGCGGGTGAATTATTCTTTATCGTTGCTGCTTTCTATTAACAAGCTTGTAATTAAAGTTGCGCAGTTTTTTCTCCTTTAAAGTCATCAAATTGTATACACGAAAATTGTAATTTTCTAGCTGTTGGTAGCTTCCAAAAAAAAAAAAAAAGGTTTTGATCCTTACAACAAATTACTAACACTGCGAAATGCCAAACAAAAATCTACTATAAATCCAATCTGCCATTATGTTATCCATTTAACAAGCCAGCACGTCTCTAAAATGAAATCCCTTTATTACATGATTAATCTCCCATGGCGTGCCCCCCAAAATGATTAACTTATCCTATGAAATTTCCACTTCAACTTCTCAATTTACCATTGCAATATCCATCTAACAAATTAAAGCGCCTCTACTGGATTTCCTTCACTGAACCATACATTTCCCACCGCATCTTGCCCTTAAGAATCCAAACTTCGTACCATCAAACTTGCCGCCTCGACAAATTTATTTAGGGGGAAGACGGCAGTCTCAGTAGCCTTGTAACGTCCCCCCAAAATATCATCAGGATTTTTCTGTGCGAAAGAAATCTTGACACTGCGATGTTCACAACTAGGAATCATGCGACAAGCCTTCTTTCCACAGTTCTCCGCGACTGCGATTAATGCTCTAAAGCAAACAATCGAATCTGAATAACCACATCTTTCATCTCTCCATCAGGAACACGTGCAACTTCTTGTCCTTTAGAAGTTCCAATATAATGCTCAATTGGTGCAATTGTTGTTGTGCTTCCCTCCTTATTTGTGACGATGTAATATTCGACGTAATCTTTAGTGGAGAGCAATGCCTTGCAAGTTTCGGTTTCGCAGCAAGCACGTTTGACATATTGTTCCGCTCACGATAAAGCCAATCAACTGTGACTACTTACAACACTCAAATTTTTGAAAATGAATCACACACATCATCTGAACCCGTCTCTACTTCAAACGATAGGATTCAACGTTATTGCCATAAAGAACAAAGGTTCGAAGATACTGAACGAACCCCAAGTCTCGCGGCCTATATCAGACTAGGGTAGAGATGCAAAATTGGAATGCTCGAGCCGGAGAGTGCGCAAAACTTCGTGCCATGAGCTCCTCATCTCAGCAAGATATCCAGGTCAAGAGCTCAAATACGAAGCCTTCTCAAACATAAAAGTTCTATCACGAAACATTAAGTCGGACACCAGACATAAAGACTAGCCGTCAGCAAACGAAACATGAGACAGTACGAGATACATATAAATGGATGAAACTTCAAACAAGGAAATCTTCTGTAGAGGTACCATCACGTTGAAATTCCTTTGTTGTTGAGGCGTTGAGTAGAACTGTGGCGTTATGACACAGTCAATACCAAGGAACTTTCCTTTCTGTCGGATGAATCATTTGTTTACCAATGTACATTTGGAGGAATGGAACGTCTTATACCGATATCAGACACTGAGACCATTGAGCACAGGCAAAGCCACCACACCTAGAACAGAAGAGAATTACAAAATAAGCTAAAAGTTGATGACTCTTCATTTCCAAGCCTTCAAGTCTCCAATTCGCTGTATTGGAGAATCGATGTCGGAAATTGTATGCTGGTAGTTATCAACACCTGTGGGGATGACAGTGTATGATTTAGCTGGAACCATTTCGGCCGTCAGTGCTGGAGGATCATGAGCACTGAAGGCTCGCAGTGTCAAATGAAGAGAATGGTTTAAAAAGGATTTGGAAGGAACCAGAGTGTCATCAAAATCTTTACCTCCTGGACGAGCATCTGATTCAAGCGTCGAACATGATTTCGGCGAAGTAGCACCTTCGCCATCCTGATAGTTGTTAGTAGCGTTACTAATCATGCTACCTGCACCAACAACATAAGAGCTTTTTCGATATCGATTTCACTGCTTTCCTGACAATCGCTGTCTCCCCTTTTACTTACGAGAAGATTCGTATTCAGTATAAAAGAACCGCAGCTGGGCGTCAGACGTTGCGTTTATAATCGCCCTAAGTGTGTTCAATTTTCTGGCTGAATGTCAAAATTTAATTTATTGATATGCGGATGTGATGGTATATAACTTGTGAATTGCAAGATGTATGATACTGAAGAGTTTTTCCAGGGTAGAGTTCCGGGCGGATTAAGATACCATCCTAGACAGCTTTAGTCAATGTGATACCACCCAAAAAGTAACAGGACTACAATACTGATTTGAAGTTCATAATACGTGTTGAAGAGCTCGATATCATCTTTTCACAAGCTTGTGTTAACACCAATGGGATTCAAATAAGATAGTGTCATCTTACTTAATTCAACTGTTGATTTTAGCATATGGTAACATCAGAAAAGACGTTATGAGCACTTGCTCTGTTAGCATTTTGTTCATTCAGAGAGCATAAGTGACAGAGGTGCAGGGCACCTGAATCAGCGATAAAAATTCATCATCACATTTCCATTTTCTACCTTCAAGTCAATCAATGTAATGTGTGGTATTCCAAAACCAGCCATAATCTCTAAACGCCTCGCGAATGCCACCAGTTACCTTGACTCCGCACCCAAAGATAGTGTGTCCTAGACAATCATACATAATATTACTTTTCGTTTGCCAAAACCATTTTCTCTCTTTCTGCTCGTCTCTTCGAAAATTGCTTCTTAGTATGTTTGCGTTCATTCTCTTGCCTGCGTTTAATGGCCTTGAGTTCCTCGGATTTTATCTCTCCAGCTTTCTTAATGACCTTAGGAACATGTCTGTGACGTTTGATGCGCCTAATCTCGGGCATATGAGCATATCGCTCCGACAATGCCTCGTTATATTCCAGAGCAGTCCGCTGTTTCGCCGATTTAATGCCTTCTCGCTTGGAAGCATTGGCTCTCCATAACCGAATGTTGCCATCATCCGAACCAGAAAGAATGAACTTAGAATCTGGTGTCCACCTTGCCGAAAAGACCCTCTGCATACGCTTGGTGTGGTAAATATCTCTCGAGTGCCCCTTGGTCCGGCTCCACAGCCTGACTGTCCTGTCGTATGATGCTGTAACGAGCTCTTCACCAGTTGGGCTGAATTCTACATCCATGCAAGCAGCAACATGACCCTTTAACACATTCAATGCTCTCTCCATCTTTCTCATATCGAAAATATAGACATTGTGATCTTCATTGGCTACCGCGAAATTGAATGCTTCCATAGGATTCCATGATATAGCATTCGAGGCAAAATTGAGTAGCGTTTTGTGAATGGGAAGTCCAGTCCGAAGATCATATAATACGACCGACCTATCAGTAGCGGTGGAAGCAAGTATAGAGGTTTCAACCTGATTAAATGCTACGTTAGTAATAGTATCAGTCGAATTTGGCCATTTCAAAACATCGGGTGGCGCATTTTGTTTTTCAAGATCGTATATCGAGATGACTCCAGATGCCGCTGCGAATGCGTTATTCGAACGGTGATGTGATAAACTTGTAAATGCATTGGTTCCCAACCATGTTGCCACGGGCGCAGATCCAGTAGTTGTATTGTAGGGGTCGAAAAGTTTGATCGATCGATCACTTGCGCAAGTTAGAAGTTTCTGGTCCCTCGTCCAACTCATGCCTTTGATAATATTCTCATGCGCACTAGTCTGCCATACCTCATCCCGAGAGGTCAAATCCCATACCTTCACAACACCATCGCCACTACCACTTGCAAAACGCTCGAGAGCATTGGGATCCTTTGCCATTGTGTAAACTCCATCGACATGTCCTTTTCCTAATTGCGCGATGAAAGGGGCGGCGAACATCCTTTCCATTTTTGTGGCATTGAGGGCGCGGGTGTATTCTCGGGCTCTCTCGAATGGATGTAATGCTGGATCTACAGAAAGTATCAATATCTGCCTCCCAGTGTCCTCCATAGAGTCAATTATACATACCAAGGTTGCGGGGCTGTTTGGCTTCAGACCCTGGGGCCTGAATGGACGCCCGACTGAGTGCTTTAATCTTCTGTAGAGTAGCTGAATTAGCAAAGTGTACAGATTAATGGTTGATTAGAATCTTAACTTGCCATATTAAAATCAGTGTGTTGTTGTCATTGTTGAAAATTTGAAAGTTATACCTGGTTGAAGTTATCGCAAAGAAATATTGAGGTGATGATAAAAATCCAGCTAAATAAATTTTTGCAGGGGTGTTGCTTTTTAGCGCAGTATCCACAAGCTCCAGGTTCCTAGTGGCATCGTAATGGCGAGTTTACCTACAAATGCGATTCCCTTCAAAACATCAAACACAACTTCACAACTCTACCCAAATTTAATTCTCTACAATTATCAAATATGGCACCAGCAGAATCATTAAGGATACAAGAAGCCCAAAAGCTGGCAAAGACAGATCCAAGAAAAGCAGAGGCAGAATACAAGGACATCATCTCCAAACCACCTTCAGTAACATCAGAAGCTTCTGTCCGAGAATATGAAACTGCGTTGGTGAGCTTGGGAGAATTGTATCGAGATGAAAAGTGAGCAGCATATAACCTAGAGCTTACTTAAATTTGGGCTAGTCACTGATTTCTGTATAGAAAAGCAAATGAGTTGGTAGATCTGATCACAACAAGCCGGACAGTATTATCATCATTCGCAAAAGCTAAAACAGCAAAGCTAGGTAAGAAGATTGGGGATTTCTATGCCTGCCAAATAGTGTTCTATATCATGGTATTGTTAGGATTCTGCTAATAAGCTTTTACTCCAGTGCGACAACTTCTGGATCTATTCAATGCCATTCCCAACACAACAGATACCCAAATTACCGTCACAAAATCATGCATCGAATGGGCCACATCCGAACGTCGTGGCTTCCTAAGACAGAACCTCGAAACCCGTCTTGTCAGCCTTTACATGATCAAGCAAGACTACTACGATGCTCTTACCCTCATCAACAGCCTCCTCCGCGAGCTCAAGCGTCTCGATGATAAGCTTGTCCTCGTCGAAGTTCAACTTCTGGAATCCCGCGTTTACCATGCTTTAGGAAACACAGCCAAAGGACGCGCCGCACTTACCGCTGCCAGAACAAGCGCTGCATCCGTGTATACCCCCCCTCTTCTCCAAGCCGGCCTCGATATGCAATCTGGAAAACTCCACGCCGAGGACAAAGACTTCAATACCGCATTCTCCTACTTTATCGAAGCGTTAGATGGATACCACACACAAGATGAGCCGGAGAAAGCCACTGCAGCACTTCAATATATGCTTCTTTGCAAAATTATGCTCAACCTTGCCGACGATGTCAACCAACTCATGACCTCCAAACAAGCCATCAAATATGCAGGCAAGAATCTCGAAGCCATGAAAGCCGTCGCTCGTGCCCACTCCAACCGTTCTCTAGAAGAATACGAAAAGGCACTTGGCGATTACCGTCATGAACTCGGCTCTGATGCCTTCATCCGCAACCATCTCCGTCGTCTCTACGATGCCATGTTGGAGCAGAATCTAATCAAAGTAATCGAGCCCTTTTCACGCGTCGAAATTGCCCATATTGCCAAGATGGTCGGTCTTGATACACAACAAGTGGAGAGAAAGCTATCACAGATGATTCTCGACAAGGTGATTATTGGAGTATTGGATCAAGGAGCTGGATGTCTGATTATTTACGATGAGACGGAGAGAGATGTAGGATATGATGCTGCATTGGCAACGATCGAGAAATTGAGCAGTGTGGTCGATGTGCTTTATACCAACCAAGCGAGTATGCTTGAGTAGGCTGGCGGCTGGAAGGCTAGATGAGGAGATAACGCATGCTTGTATCATAGAGGCGTAAAGATAAATGATATGATATGATATGAAATGGCTTTTAATTCTCGGTTCCAACATTCGAACGCATTTCCATTCGTGAATAATAAAGCGAACACAAATACAAGTGATGCCACCAAAACATGCACAACAAATTCTCTCTCGGTGTCCAATTTCTTCAATTCTCTTTCATCCTATTATAATATGGCTTCTTGCAATAATACACGTGATACTCCTGAGCGAAAACTCCGTACCCAAAACAGCCAAAAGAAGTGCCAGCAAACTCATTTTGCTTTTTACAGTCCACACGTTTCGCTCCCAAAATCATACATGCACGCTATGCTTATGCTACCCAGGTATCCCTCCATCCAAACATTCCTTGACTCCAAAGTGCTCCAAATGATGAGCGCGCTCGCTCGCTTCAGACAGCTCCAAATACAAGGTATACAAGAACCATAATGTGTTCCAGAAACCTAAAAAACCCACACGTACATATTTACAGAATAGAACAAAAAGAAAGTCGAGGTGGGTGATATGATTTATCCAATTATGCACCCGTCTCCCAGAATCCCATGTCCATTGACCAAAGCTCAACCATAGCTTTGATCAAACCACACTTTCCCATTCATCTGCAATGACAGTATCGACAATCATTAAGAACTAACCCCCTTCCGCCTCCTCTCCTCTCCTATTAGTAGCGCAAAAACCCTCTTTGCTACAACTGCCTCGTCCCATCCTGGAACTTCCCCCCTAAACTCATCCACCGCTTCTAAATGCCACTGTTCCAATCTCATCTTCTCATTCCCGATTTCTTTTCCCTCTTTATTACCATTTTTATAGACCCTGACCCCTCCCTCGCCAATCCCTACTCCTTTATCTTTGAGATTTACTATCTTTCCAATAGTCCACTAATAACTCTTGTGGAATTTCTTCTTCCGTATTTAGAGTTGGAAGATCCAGTTGAATTGACCTCGGAATCCGAGGCATCGTGGTTCTGATTCTCCGGCTTCCAGGTTTGTAGAATGGAGTCGAGAAGAAGCCAGTGATCGCGTGTCCAGTGTGTAGGAGAAAGTTGGGGGTTTGTAGGAGAACTGGGTTGTGGAGAGGAGGAAGCGAAGACGACGTTCTTGCTAGGGGAAGGTTGAGACGGCGGGGCAGTAGAGCGTAGAGGCGAGCGAAGTATAGATTTTGTAGGGGAAGGAGGAATGGGAGCTTCGAGACGATGTTGGGTCCATTTTGGCTTAGGATTTTGAAGCTGTTGATTTTCTGTTGTTTTGACGGGCGCGGATGTGTTAGGTACTGAAAGTTCGGAAGACGAACTCTGGGCAGGGTCAGGTTGGATCGCAGGAACTTTAAGCTTGTTGCTCCTGCTTGGCGATGTGTTTGTCAGAGCACCAACTAAGGACGATGATGATGTTTCTGGGGTTGGTAGATTGGTCCTTGTGGATCCAAAATTTCCAAAAATGCCCCTTATTGATTGAGAGATGGGTGCAGTTCGCGCATCACCATTCTCACGAACTCGAGGTTGGAATCCTACTTTTTGGGGAATGGGAGCAAATGAGCTCGTTTCTTCCTCGGTATCACCAGATAAACTGTCCTGAGGAGGGTCGAAGTGTGACGCCCGAGGAGATGGTAACTCTTTCGATGATCGTCCTTCAGCGCTCGGCCCTTCTCTATTAGAAAGAGTTGGTAGACCGCCAAATGGCGATGACCGTAGAAGTGCAGATATATCAGGCTTCGTATTACCTAGGCTACGAATCTTTGGCTGAAAATTCTGCTTCTGTGGTATCTGCCACCCAGACAAGTCAAGGGTTGAGTCACTTTCAGGTTGAGGATTTTTTGGAGAGCTTTTCGATACATCAGCCTGCTTCGAAACGCTTTTTGGCGAGGGCTCTTCGACCATGGGGGCTTCTGCGTCATGGTCAGGTAATGGGCTAGCAAGCTCATCGCTATACACTAAACGCTTGCTATTTGTTCTCCACGGGCTAGGAATTTTACTTCGTTTAGGTCGTTCCGCGTGGTCGGATTTGTCAGAGTGAAGCTGATTTTCCTGATTGGAAGCATCTAGGGTCTCCAGTAAGAGTCCAAAGCTTTCATCGTCTTCAAATTCTTCTTCTTCATGGTTATCGACACTATTGTCGGCATTATCATCGTCTTCAAGATTGATACGCATCTTTCCGGGTAAATTTTCCTGTTCTTCATCTGCAACCAGATCGTTATCATCGTCTTCATTTCTATCGTCATCATCATCGGAACTTAGAAACATAACTTCATCGGTACTGGCTGTAGAGATTTGTTTACTTATCGCAGCTCGTTCTGCTGCCCATTTCTCTTGTAGGCTACTCAAAGTTCTTTTAGTCTCCACGGGCTTTTTCTCCAATGACGATGACGACGGCACTGGTTTTTCAACAGCTCCGTTGCGGTCAGTCTCTTCAAGCTGCGAATTCATAGAATTGATGGTTCTTGACGACTCGTGTTGAGGAATGACCGCCGCATTTATAGAAACAGACATGCGACGGCTACTAGGTAGTTCAAGATTGACATTTTGTGATTTATCCATAGATGGACGTCTTTGCGCTGCTCCATTTCCAACAAATGGGTCCTCGTCGAGAACAGGCCTACTCCAGCTTCTTCTTCGCGAATGTTTCGAACCCAAGTCTCCATTATGATCTAGTTTTGGCAGCGACGTTTGAGGCTGCTCAGCGGGCATAGAACGACTAATATTGGTATCTGGATATGCGCTTGAGCTAGATCTTCTCCCTGTTGCTGGACTCTTAAATGGGCTAGCTAGACTCTCGGATCTACTTCTGGGCAATGATGATGGTATAACAATATCTTGCAAAATACGGCCAGCTTTTTCAGCTGGTGATGACGCATTTGTGTTTGAAGATTCTGGCCTCTCGGATGGTTGCCTTGGTGGCTGGATAGGTGGTGGCAATGTGGGGGATGAGAACACAATAGCTGGAGTCTGTGTCAGCTTAAGGTTTGTTTGCCGTTGCTGTTGAACATGTGCTGTATATGTAAATCTGCGTGGTGCAATTGCAGGCGGCGAGGAATGGATTTGCGAGTTGATGAAGGATTCTTCAGCGAGGTTTTCAGTATCTTGACTTCCTGTTAATTTGCCCCTATTATTTTTTATCGAAGTTGACTGCTTAGATTCTTTCGTTGGTGGCGAGGGGCGATTTGGATGGCTTTGGCGATGTTGCAAGATGTAATGATTTCGCGCGATCTTGTGACAGCTTGGAATTTGTCTTAGGATCGGGTACCAACTTCTTTGTTGAACTCGGCCGAAGCGGTGCTTTGCGCATTAAACGTGGGGTGGCAGCGTCAAGTGGAGCTGCATGCTTGGTAGACGATGAATCCTCGATTAATCCTCCAGCTGTTTTAGGAGGCTTGATACGAGTATCCGACAGGCTGCTATCGGCATAACCGGCTACATTTTCTCCAACTACCGCGGAACTTCCTGGATATGACATCTCAACGCCCCTTTTTCGCGCTGGGGCTGGGGTTGCGGCCTCGAGAATCTCGGGTGGTATGCTTGAAAATGAATCATCAACTCGAGCTTCCTGGACGCGGAAAATTTGAGGATTCTTAAGTTTCTTGCCTGGTGTTGCAGCCTCAAGGATCTCTGGTGCTACACTCGAAAATGAGTTGTGCTGTACGGTATTTTGGACTGAAAGAATATTTTTATTCTGAGGACGTGCGGCCAAGTTTTGCCCCTCATCTGGGAGTACTCCGTTCAACGGTTTCCTCAACGACGGTACAGAATCAAGCGATATCAGACTAAATCCTTCACTCTCCATGATAGTGTCAAACTCGGGTCTATGATCCATATCATCGTCCATCTCATCTTCAAAATCCTCTTCTTGCATATCTTCAGTAGCATTGTCCACTTTTCCGTCGGAAAATTGTCCTATCTCACGCGTTTCATCAAAATCTTCATCCGTCTCATCATCAAAACCATCGCCCCCAAAATCGCCATTGTCGTCATCATCTTCAATGGGACCGTTTGATTCCAGAGATGGAGCACCATTTCTCAAACTTTCACTCAAAAAACTCGTTTCCTCTTGTGCCCTATTTGACGAACTTGGCATTTGAGATGTCTCCAAAACGCTTGACCAACCTGTTGTTGGGGGCGTTTCTTCTCCAGGGTGAAATCTTGCAATGACAACATCCTCTTCAGCATCTTCACTACTTGGGAAAGTCGATGTGGATTGATAGGCGGGGTACTGGGAAATTGGACTTTCCGAATTGGCATCAATGGTTGCCAAAAGATCAATCTCTTCCGGCATCAATCCCTCATGAATGTCAGCCTCTACCACCTTAGGCTCGGCATTGGGAGTCTGTGCTTGCTCTACCACATCACTTCCGTCTGATAGTCGTATTTCTTCTCGCAGCCGAGACCTTGGCCTACCACGACCTCTCTTAACCACACTCGATGGGACCAAATCCGAACTAGCTTTTCTCTTACGCGGTGTCGCCTTTTGATAACTTTTGCTGACTTTGATCGTGATCTAGAATTTCCCGCCGAGACTTCTTCGTCGTTGACATCTTGGCTTTGGTTGTCTACCTCCCCTCCAACACTTTTTCGTCCACGCTTTCCGACTCGATTCAAAGTGCCTTGTTTTTGGACCGGAGTATTTGATTTCCTTGGACGACCTCTGGGCCTCTTCGGTGTTACCTCATATCGAATGCTATTATCATTTTCGGAGTCCGAAAGCCCTCGTAATGGCACTGTTGTCGTCGTCGTTCGCTCTATTCGACGGGGGTACCGGCGCAGGTGTAGGTGAACTGAAATTATGAGGTCTGAGGTTCGCATGATCGTCCTCGCTGTCCGAATCTTCTGCTTCTACTGTAACTCTGATTTTTTGTGGTGATAATGTATTTCCCACATCCAATTCAAAGATTTGTTTTTTTGGAGAACTGGCTGGTAATGGCAGTGACAAACGCGATGAGGGAGTCTTTCGTCGTTTCGTACTCGGTGGTGCCTGGTATGTCAAGGAGTCGGCGAGGGGATCTGGGGAAGATAGCAAGGCTTCATCCATGCCGTATTGGACCATCATAACAATTAATGCGCAAGAGCGCGATAAATAAATGAAAATCCTCTGCTTCTATGTTCTAATGGAGATAGATATATGAAGATCATTCACTGTCAAACTAATCCAATAATTTCATGTTATGCGGGGGCGTGTATAATTCGTTGTGAATATTGTCGCAAAATGATGTCTCTATAATCTTTTGAATATTTGAGTTGCGACGATGCGGTTTGTTTACATTGAAGTAAACTTAATTTACAGGCAATTTAGTAACACAATCTTATTGGTTGATGAGTGGGTTCGCTTAGTAATCACTCATCCTTGAAACACAACGTTGGAATCATCGTTGGACCAAAACTTTTATGATGCTGCACTACCATCTAATTTCTGTTATTTAGGGAAGCATATACTCTAGTGACTGTACTAGAACTTGACTAAATACACCAAGAATTGTTCGTCTTCTTGAGTTTCAGTGAACTCAGGCAAACATACATCAAGAGTTTCAGAGCTTATTAGCGACGAAGGGCTTTTGTTATCATCTAGATAGGTAGGCTGGATTAACACCGTGTTTCTACTTTCACTACCCCTCATAATGCCTTGGCAATGCCCGTGTTCTTGTCTACTATGCGTAGATACCTCGTTATCAAAGGTAGCAAAGGTAGCGGTAGCTTAATGGCATGGTGATTGATGTATGAACTATAGATTCATCGCGAATGTATCTCTAGACCTACACATCAATGATTCATTCAGTAATTACCTTGCATTAATCATGGTGAGACTCATCGAACTGATTTCCAATGTGTCAAGGCACCACCCTTGCACATAGTGTCTTGAGGCTCTCTGTTGCTGTTGTGCTATCTCTACGTAAGCGAAAAGACAGGCGGAAATTGAGTACCTTTTTAAAGGACTTTTTTGTTAGATTATAAATTCATTTCAAATTAAATATCGAAATTTCAAAAAACCAAACGAAAATTTGAGTTTTCTTTGTATTGATAGTGAATAGTTTTATTATTTAATATTACATCGAAAAGAGATCTTAGTTGTTGAAGGTCTTTCGAATGATAGTCAATTCCCGTCTGTTTTTTTGCTTACGTAGAGGCTTTATAGGAATAGAAAAGTCGACTATTCAAGCGACTGCAGTATAATAAACGAACTACTAACTTTGTAAAGTCAAAGCGTAAAAGTGTATCTACCTCCAGCTATCTAAGATTACCTAGGTACCCTCGAGCTTCCCAAGTGCCCACCTAGCAGGCAACCAGGTAATAACTGAATCTGGGGTAAATCATGAAGATGGCTCGAGGATGGCTAGCTTACTAATTGTAAACTGAATAATTCAAACTTTGATTGGTCTAAATTCTATTTGTCAATAAAAACCTAAATATTACGCGTATACTCCTAGTGCTCCAACTTAGCACGCTTACCTAATAATTGATTACTCAGTTCCAGCAAGCCGATTTGTTGCATCACTCACCTCCGGCTAGTCACTCACCAACTTCAAAGGAGATATCGCGGTATTCCGAAACCACTTTGCCACATGGCGTGCTACTGCTTGAATAGTCATCTAGCCCTCGGCTTTTGGGAAGGGAGTCGTACACTTTTCGACGGTGATAAGATATGGTCGAGTAATCTCACCCCTCGATTTCTAAGATCTCAATGACGTGCTAGCACGGCACTGTTTTCGTTGCTTACAATATCAGAATTTGTTGTTACACACTCTTTGTACTTACGATATACGTCTGCATATATATACATCTATATCCATTGCTATTAATTCATTTTCTTTACTTATATTAATACAGCACAGCAATTCAAACACATCTCCATATACATACATTCGCATCCATTTGTTAGACTATACTTGCTAAACAATCAAAATACACTTGACTACGTCACTCCTACGACATTTGAGAATCATCCCAGAACTCAAAGCACGCATAGACAATTCAACATCATGACAACCGCCGCACCTATCCACAACACACCTGCCCACAACCTTTCTCCATCGTCACGGATTGAAGCCGCCGGTCAAATCAAAAGCAAAGAGAGTAGTTTTGTCCCTCGCGGCGATACAATCGTCACCCTCAATTATTTCAGACCACCCGAAGACGGCTCTGTACCTTTCAATTACGTCGAAGAACCACCTCAAGGACAACCTCAACGCAACTTTGGCGATTTTGATATCCAAGTCCCCATCAGCGATATCCGCGGTAAAGAATCACTATACAACCTCAACAAAGATGCATTCGAAGTAATCCTCGGAGTTCCAGAGTCTGCAGAAAGGGAATTCAGAGACGATGAATCAATCAAAAGAAACTACTATCCCGAAGTCGAGAAATTAGTCTTGGATAACGTCCCCGGCTCGAACAAGGTGTTTATTTTTGACCACACTGTTCGTCGCTCAAATCCCAATGCTCATCGGGGTCCCGTCGCAAGAGTCCACATCGATCAAACCTTGAAATCAGCCAAGCAACGTGTCCATCGTCATTTGCCCGAAGAAGCAGAGAAACTTCTTCAAGGTCGATTCAGAATTATAAATGTATGGCGGCCAATCAATGGAGTTGTTCAAGGGAACCCACTAGCGTTCGCTAGCTCGGCAACTACTCTCGACCAAGATGTCATCCCGGTCGAACATCGATATCCAGATACAACTGGTGAAACAGCGGGTATCCGATACAACGAGGGACAAAAATGGCATTACCTGTCTGGAATGCAGAACGATGAGCGATTGTTCCTGGAGTGCTTCGACAGTGAATCGTTGAAGCCTGGTACTGAGGTTCAGGGTGGCAGAGTACCCCATACTGCATTTGAAGATCCTCGAACACCCGAGGGTGCAAAAGGAAGAGAGAGTATCGAAGTTAGATGCTTGGTTTTTGGTCCTTGAGGTTCAAATCGAATGGTAGTGCACAGGCGATAGAGCGTATTGATTCGGAGTTGTGATTTAGCATTAGGGTTAGCATACATGATCGAAATTACAAACTATTCAAACATCGTTTCGTCTTTACATCATTTCTTCTTTCGTAGAGTGAAGAATTCGTGAATACATAGGGATACGCACATACAAACACAACAATTTCTCATCCCTTTCTCTCTCTTCAGAAGATACCTACCCGGCATTGATCAAGTTAGTTAGCGACGTAGAAACACCATCCAAAGCATGCATGTGTGAACAACCCATCATATCCACCCATCTACCCCGAGTCAGTATATACCACATCAGCAATTCTCCTCGCCTCTAGAGAAATCAGAAATCAGAAATCATAATAAAACAAAAGTATACATATAACCAACATTAGAAAATCGTTACTAACAATAGCGCAGTACAGTTGTCACGGGGTGATACTAAGCCCTTTCTGTTCTGTCCTGTCCTGTTATATATATGAGAGTAAGATAGAACTTCCAGTTCTACCTCCTAATCTTTTGGGCGTTTAGTTCAGCGGTAAAGCTTCTGAATACTCCCAGAGGTGATCCTGTGACAACAATAGAATTTAATCATATCAAACTAAGATATATCGGAATCTTGAATATTCATATATCGAAACAATTTCCTCATTTGATTACTTTTTACCTGATAACATTAGAATTTTAAGCAAAATCAAAATATCAGATACTTTTTTTTTTCCTTTTATCGTACAGGACAATAGCATATCACAATGGAGGGGAATGATTGAACAATAATAGTATAAATATGAAAATATATATATCGCTAGGATTATAACAAGAATTAATCTCTTTTTGTAGAAAAGAGATAGGATTATATACTGGATAATCTTTAGATTTCGATTATAAAAGCAATAATCAATCCTACAATCAATCCGGTTATTATTATTCCGCTCCAGAGTATTCTATATATTGCATTTTTAATTATTATATAATCTAATCTATATGATATACAATATCGTTTTCGTCACACCTTTTTTTTCTTTTACAAATCCGAGATATTTTTTAATAAGAGATATAAATAATTAAATAATCTTTTTTTAATCAAATAAATAAGATTAACTATTATCATATAATTATATAAATAAATAAAATTATCTAGATATTCACTACCGAAGCTGAAAAAATTTAGTGTAAATTTTATTAAAACGCTTAAATTATAATTATTTATCAAAAGTTTCTTTATATCGAGTTTAATTCATTAATTTTTTTAGTTGAGTTTAGTATAGTTAAGATCTATTATAATATTCGTATTTATTATATATCTATCTATAATATTTTATAATAATTAACTATTATTGTTATATTATACTTATTATATATCTATCTATAACGTGGTTTATCAGTGGGTCGGCCATATCAGTGGATCGGCCACTTTTACCTCGAATTATTATCCTAAAGCTATATTATTCAACAACGATTAAATCAATTGATTGAAACTATAAAGAATCTAATAATCTAGGATCTATTATATTATTTTGATAAGTTCTTGTATTATACCCAGTCTTTCTGTATTTACTATAGCATCGACTAGAAGATGCTTCCCTATTAGAATTCTCCCCTTTTTGACACTCGTTGTGTTAAATCTAAATATCAACCTTTTGCTGAAATAATATATCTTCAGCCTTTTGTCTAGTAAGTACTTCTCCATTATGTAATTGAATCTTTTTAGCATGTCGATATTTACTTAATGTTTTATTTGCTTTTTGAAGTATATGATTCTCTGTACTTAAAAGTGTATTTTTATAAGCTAATCTCTTTATACCTTTAGCTAAAGTCAATACAATCTCAAATATAGGTGTAGGAAAGCTTGATTGATGGTAAGCTATTTGAGATTTCACTAAAATTGATTGTGAAAGAGCTTTAGTTGGATTGTGAGGTGTTTGAGAGATCCAAATGTTTGAATTAATGGATGAAGGGGTAGGTGTATGAATCCGAATATCCAATTTCGAGAATATAGCTTGAGGATCGAATGGTATTAAATCTGCTCTTCGAAAACCAGCTTTTATATTCTAAGTTGTAATTGATTATTGATATGTAGTTTTAAAAGCTATAAGGAATTCAATCTTAGTGATATGATTGATATGTCA